TCACAAACACTGATACTTCTGACAGAGTCAGATGAGTCTGATATGTGTTAACTTAACATGGAAAGGCATACTTCCCTTGGCATGAGTTATAAATAGCTTTTATTCTGAGGAGGTTTACCATAGATAGGTAAAAAAAGAGGCTTAGAAGACAGTAAGAGATTGGAACAATTTCCTTCCGAAATGGGTATTTAGTGCTTTTGGTTTGGGTTTCAAGACTGGTTTGGTAGAAGTAGAGGCTGTTGCTTCCCCAGTCTGCAAACCTGGTGCCCTCTGGTTGTCAAAGCCCATTTCTAGTGCTGATGGTTCTATGGGAGCCCTTAAAATTAACTTCTCTGACCAGTATGACTCTTCAGGAGCTGAGCTGTGTCTCACATCTGTGACTAGTACTGCACATTGCCATACTCTTTGTAAAAAGCCTTGAGTGATTTTTTTCTTAACGCTTGGTTTTGGTGAGTTGCGCAGTTCCAGAGAGGTGAGTTTTCCAGCATGACTGCAACCCTTGCATTTTCCCCATGCTAACTCTACTAAACGTGGCTGCACACTACTGATAGCCATGTCCATGGCTGGGGATGTTATCAGCAGCTCCCTGGTGGGGCTGTCACAGCCCATGAACCACTGTCTGTGTCAGAGCGGGGCTGGGTGGGAAATGGGACCCCTGAGACCTGGGGTGGGAGGCGGCTGCTGGGGGCTGCAGCCCTGTGTGCCCTGGGGAGAGCCACGCTCCTCTCTGAACAGAGAAACCAGAGTCTGGGGGCACAGGGCACCCCCGGCCTGCCGAAATCCCGACTGCAGAGCTGTGAGTGAGGGACTGGCTTGTGTGCCTGTGCTGTGACTTGGAAACAAACCCTGGCTCTTACGGGCTGGGTTTCCTTCACGCAGGATTCAGAGATCCCAGTTTGGGATCCCGTTGGCACAGTAAATAACATCCTCACAGTGTACTGAGGCGTGCTGGTGGATACCAGTGTGCCTGTGGAACAAGCTGACCCCCAGCTGTGTGTTTGTCAGCTGTCAGACAGCATCCAGGGAGAGTTCACTGGGAACCAGTGGCCGCAGGCTCAGGGCTCTGGTCTCTCGCCCTCCTGCTGGTTGCTGCCGCAGGCTGCAGGGGCTGTGCTGCACCAGGAGCTGCTTACCTGGAACCTGGACTCAAGTGAGTCCAGAGAACAGGTATTAAAACAGGATTTTTTCTTTATTGCTTTATAAAAACAGTTTGGAAGAAATAATGCTAGTGAGAAGAATCCGATTAATATCCCATGAACTCTTGTTTCCCTCAGTGAAGCAAGCTGGTAAATGAGGCCAGGATTCAAAGCAGTTGGTTTAGTGTTTATTCTAGTGCATTTTCATGGCTATGGGTGTCGGAAGCCCAGTGTGAGAAGGTATAACCTGAAGGAGCATGTTTCTTGTGGGTCACAACTGTACTGGGTAACTGGGTGGGGTGAGGGGTGTGAGGGGCATGGGACACCCCCCCGTGTGTGTATACTGGATTCTTGACTCTCAGCTTCAGCCTTCCAGTGACAGCATGATCCAGGAGTCCTGCGGGTGCACCCTTTTACCCGAGTGATACAATAACACTCACAGAGTTTTCTCATTGTATTTACAGTGCGTCTGGTGCAAGTGTTGTTGCCATTGACAACAAAATAGAACAGGCAATGGTAAGTAAAATATAAGTTATTTGTAATAGGATTAATGTTGTTCATCACTGAACATAAGTTTCCTGCTATATTGTGTTTCTTAAGACTGTGATATCCCTCCAGGTGGGTCAGACTGAGAGCATCAATTGAAAAAAGGATTTTCTGTGTCATCTGTGAATGACCACAAACCATTATTGCTTTTACTGTTGGCCCAGAAATGTTTTTCAGTTAATTTTCTTACAAATTGCTGGGAACAAGATGAGTGTTACTCTAGCCAAGTTCATTACTAGTTTTTCTGAAAGGTCAGGTATGCCATTCTTAACATGCTGCTCAGCTTCAGTTAGAGCTGTTGGATTTTTATTCTGATGATGTAAAAGCTTTCTTGTTGATTTGGTTCTCACACACCTCAGTGACGGGGCCTGTGTACCACAGACTATCCATACCCCATGTCACAGCATCAGAGCTGGTGCTTTCCTCCTGGGCAGCCGGGGCGTCATTCTTCTCCTTGGCTTCTGTGTAACTAAAGTGACTGCAGTGCTGGAGACAAAGCTTTTCATATCAGGCCTTCTTCACATAAGGGCTGGGTTGCTTGTGCTCGAAAGCTGATTTATTCATAAAATTTTGGCGATGAGTGCTTTTTTTTCCCAGGCTTACTGCAGTGCAAGCAGTAACAGTAAGTTCTGGGGCTGGGGTGAAGGAATCTTGTTCTTTCCCGTGGTGTAACTGTCCCTTCTTCTTTGCAGGACCTAGTGAAAAGCCATTTGATGTATGCAGTGAGAGAAGAAGTGGAAGTTCTGAAGGAACAAATAAAAGAATTAGTTGAAAGAAACTCTTTACTTGAACGAGAAAATGCACTGTTAAAATCCCTTTCCAACAACGATCAGTTGTCCCAGCTCTCCAGCCAGCAGGCCCCCAGCAGCACCTCGCAGGCGCAGCCCCCGCAGCCGCCGCAGCCCAACGTCTCCTCCGCGTGAGCCGGCCGTCCTGTGCCACTGGCCCTCGGCCCCAGAGCGAGCAGCCTGCTTCTGTTGTGTGTTTGGCCTTTTCAGTATTAGACAATCACCCTGGCGGGGCTGCCCGCGCCGCGGCCCCTGCCCGCACGGAGGCCGCGGGGCAGTCCTGCAGCCCCTGTGCTGGGCTTCAGGAGGGAGCTCTGCCACAGCTTGGGTGGCTCTCCGAGGTTCCCATTGCTCCTGGGTTGCTTTGAGCCTTGCTGTCTGGTAAGGAGCAGCAATTCCTCTTCAGAGCCACTGTTCTTTTCATATAAGTAACATTTGCCTATGTTAGTTTCATTTATTTGTTTTATTTATTACAGGGCTGCTATTTTCATAATGTACATGAACAATGTCACAGAACTTTTGAATTTTTTTTTTTTAATAAACGTCTGTATGGGTAAAATGATAGATGGGATTGCGTTAATAGATACAATGTCTAGGCAATAATTGAACAAAGAATCCTGGCATATTTCTAACACTAATGGCAATTGACCTTTGGTATTTATTTACGGTAGTAAAGATCCAGCTTGAATGTAAATTTTGTATAGAGTGTAAGTATGAAGACCATAGTGCATCTGTACAGGTAGTCACCAGTCCTTGTGATATAATAAATAAGTGATGGGCTATTTTGATGAAGAAAACTTTGCTCATTTCTGTTTCTACTTTTTAATAGAGAGAAGGGGGCCATGATTCCTCTGCTTTTTGACATTTCGTTTTTGGTTTGGTTTTTTGGGTGGGAATAAAAAGCTGTGAAATTGTTCAACCTACTTTGTAACCAAAGAAGCAAAGCTGTATAATTGAGTTGGTTGTTGGTTTTTTGTTTTGTTGTTTTGGTTTTTTTTTTTATTTTATAATGCACATTCTTTATGTATTTTTTATTTAGTGTTTTCTCATTCACAACTTTCTTTGCTGTCTCGCATGATCTGCATGACCTGTAATCTTTGAACCACTTCCGTACCTCATGTTTTTATCCAGCACTCTTAGTGTAATATGTACTAGTCTGTGAACAATGTCAATAAAGAGAAAGAACAGCTGGTGTTGGTGGAGCTAAGCTAGTGTGCTAGGCACTAGTTGTTAAAACAAATAAATGAAGTGAGCCATCTTTTGTTCATTTAAAATGGTGTTTTGAATTTCGTATGCAGAAAACGTTTTGTTACATTGCAGATTTAATGTATTTAATAAATGCAACATGCAGATTAAATGCAGTGTATACTGAGTATTTAAATTAAAAATGTACATTTCATAAATACAGTTTCAAAAAAGACCATCATTTGTGTAAACTAATGCAGTGTGTCAAATTGATGTACAAATATATATATATTTTAACACATTTTCTGAAATTAAACCAGTTTTGTTGAATTTTTTGGCTGTAGATGTTGTTGCAGTATAATTAAATTCCGTAGCTCTTTTCTGAACAAAATGGAGAAATGCAATGTCAGTGAGGCAGTAAGAGACCAATGCCAGGGTTACCACTTCTCATGCAACAGACTGGTTTCTTCTCTTCTAGGAGAAGCATCTTCTGATGCTGTCGGTGGCTGCCTTAGGGGTTTGGGTTTGCACTGATAGCTCTAAATAAACATCTGGGCCTGCTGAGTCACTGCTGTGAATTCTGCTTCAGTACCAGAGCCCTGAGCAGCTCTAACTCTGCTCAGGTTTATGTCTAAGGTAAAACACAACAAACGGTGGAAACTGCAGGTTTTGGTGTCTGCAGATCTCAAAGAAGTGTCCATGTCCTGGAAAGCGAGAAGCATCTCCTCCTCCTGGTAAGCCTCAGTTCAGCACAGTTCAAACAAACTCTGTGTTGTGTGCTTATTAAAAAGTTCTTGTTAAAGTAACACCAAAATGATCTTTCCATTAGGTGTGGACTGGTGTTTTCTGCCTGCTGCACCCCTGTGCTGTGAGTACAGCTGGGAGACTTTAGTGCACACAGATCAGAAAGCAAAGTATCCCAGTAGCTGTGTGTTTCCTCTGCAGTGCCATCAGTGGTTCCCTCCAGCTGTACGCTGAGGATGATGCTGGTAAAGTAAGAAAAAGGAACAAATTGGGGATTTCTGGGAACAAGAGTCCCTCAGGTGAGTAGTTGATTAAAACTTCTCGGAGGATACTCTGTACCTGTCAGTTCACTTTTGAGTGGAACAGCACAGAGACAACTTTCTGAAGCTGACTCAGGGCTCATTGTTTTTGTGCAGGGAGCAGAGGAGCAGCTCTGCTCCCCTCGGAACGCCTGTTCCCCTGTGTGTGAGCCGTGGGGCAGTGACAGGCACATCCTTCACACCGGGGAGCTGTGGAGGCGCTTTCTCCGAAAGCAAGAGGCACTTCGTAAATCTGAAAAAGGGGATGATACAAAGATTGAACTGATTCTCTTAGAAAGCCTTTGCTTTGCTCTGCTCCTGTCAGGTTTGCTCTGGGGCTTTGTGTTTAGTTTTTGCGTAGAGATAAGCTGTATTCGTCTCTGGACAGCATCTCGGCTGGGGAGTGCCCTGTGCACTGGCAGAAAGGGTCTGGGAGTGCCGCGGGCTCTTCTCCCGAGGCTGCCAGAGGAAAGGGAGCAGCAGCTCTCGCAATCAGAGCGCCGCGGTGTCAGGGTGTGCGGCGGCCGCTGGCAGAGCCCGGTGGCGAGCGGCTGGCGCTGCCCGCCCGGCTGGCGCTGCCCGGGCGCTGCTGTCACCCGTCCGTGCCCCGCCTGGCGCGGCCCCTGCCGCTGTCCCGGCACGCCGGGGGCTGCCGGGGGAGCCGCTCTCCACACCAGGTGCGGGTGCTCGAACGCGCCTTCGACATCGTGCCACTGCTCCATGTAGCTTTGGCATAAAGAGAAAGGATGCAGCTGCTGCGTTCACGGCAGCGTGTGCTGCAGCGCGGAGCGGGAGCGGGCTGCAGCCGCGGTCTCACGGAACCGTCCGAACGCGGTGCAGCTGGGCTGAGGTGGCCCCGAGTCAGGCCCGGCGTCTCAGACCGGCGGTGGCGGAAGATGCGGGGAAAAGCTACGGAAACAGTGGAGGATGCGGAGGAAATGCTTACTGAGGAGAGCTTCGAGGCCGCGGCCCTGGCTCAGAGGGGAGCGCGGGCAAGAGGCTGGCACAGCAGCGGAGCGGGGGTCAGGTGAGGTGAGCACGGAGCGGCACAGCCCCTTCCCCGGCCCTTCCCCCGCGGCCGGCCCGTGGCGCAGCGGGACCTGCGCGGGCCGCGGCGGCCGCGAGGCGGCGCTGTGAGCGGGGCGGGGCTGCCCGCACCGCCCCCGCCCGCTCCCGGTCCCGTTCTTGTTCCCATTCCTGTTCCCGTTCTCGTTCCCGCTCCCGGGTCGTCTCCGCAGCCCAGGATCCGCTCGGGCCCTCGCGCCGCCGCCCCGGCGCAGGGGCTGTTCCCGCTCCCGGCGCCGGTTCTTGGCGAACGCGGCCGCTGTGGCGGCCGGGCCCGCGGTGCCGCGTGTGCGCGGATGGGCGGCACACGGAGCCGGGGCCGTGCGCGGTTCCGCAGCGGCGAGCGGCCTGGCGGGGCTGCGGGCGCCTCTCGCCTTGGGAGCCAAACCGTGCGCGGTCCTGCAGCCAGCCTTGAGGAGGCTGCACAGGAGAAAAAAAAATAAAAATTGAGATACAAGTGTGTTGCAGGTGGCTAATGACGTCACCTGAGCAAGCTCAGCGCTGAGGAGCGAACCGTGCGCGGCTGTGCACGGGGGCACAGCAGAGCCGCACAACGTGCCGGCTGCCGGGGCCCGGAAAGGACAAGCTGCATCGCTCGGGGGGGAAATAAACCGGTGTTGCTCTCAAAGGTGTCGGAAAGAAACAAGTGTGGTGTTTTGCAGCTTCTGTTCCTGTGTGTGTGGAGCCAGAGCACGGCTGGGCCCAGAAGGCCCCTCCAGAGATGCCCCCACCCAGCCCAGCTGTGGCACCGCAGCTGCCCGTGTCCCCCCACTGCAGGGCGCCGCGCTGCCCCAAAGCACGGATTTACTGAACGCCAGAGAACCAGCTTGGGCAAACCACCCTGCCCGCTCCCACAGCCCGGGACTGCTGCACCAGGCAGGGCTGGCCAGACCCCCGGGGCCCCCCGCATTCCCGGGGAGCAGAGAGGCAGAGGGGAGGAAGGCTCCTGCTGAACCCTGTGGGGGATGGCCGGTCCCCAGAGGGAAGGGGAGCGGCAGCTGGGTGTGCCCAGAGCCCTGGCAGCCCAGCTCCGGCCCCGTGTCCCAGCCGGGCACGGGGTGCCCCATGGCACGGGGGCTCCTCTCAGGGAAAAGCCAATTAATCCCTGCCTGTGTGAATGGCCGAGGCTCAACAGCCAGCAGAGCCCTGCTTTGCCCACATCAGAGTGAACACAGCTTGCATTTGAAAAGAACTTTATTTAAAATCAGCGATGATACAGACTTCCCCCGCCACAGCACAGAGTGTCCCAGCACAAGGTCCCCATGCCCTGGGCAGCCCCGGCTCACACCAGGCCCAGGGATTCCATATGGAAATACAACATGTACAGAAGATCTGCTCCTTCACAGCTAACAGGCAATTCATTAACCTCAGCCCATTTAATTTTATTTCTAATGTAACCAGACTTAAAATTTGTCTTATAAGAAACCCAGAGAAAAGAAGTCTTCCTTTAGCAACTGCGTGCACCAGCAGAGCAATTCCCACCACCTTTGTCACTATGCAGACAGCAGAGCCAGGAGTCAGGGCCATCAGCAGGGAAATATGATCAATAGCAGCATTTTCCACGTGATCTCAAGTTACAGTCGTCTACAGAAGAAGGAACTGTGATCACCAGTAGGGAAGCAGTTAAGTACTGAATCCATTGTTAAAGGAAATCGAGTTGAAGGCAGGTTTTACCTTAAATAGGATTAAATATATATTGCAAGACACACCACACTCTGCAGGGGCTGCACATACAGAAGCAGAACTGCGGGCAGGGAGGCAGCGTGTCCCGCCCCGCACCCAATATTCCCACACAACATTGTCAAATTTAAAACTAATCACCACTTGTTGAAAGTTGTCCAAGAAGTATTTACAGCGCGGGCAGGGCCGGGAGGGGCTGGGGAGCCGCGGCTCTGGGCACGGCGCTGCCGCAGTCCAGGGAGCCCCACACGGCTGCTGCCGGGGCTGCCCGCCCGTGCCCGCTGCTCGCACGCCCTGCCCCGACACAGACAAGCGTTTTGCGGGGGTGACACGAAGCCAGGGCGGCGCGGGCACTGCCACATGCTGCAGCGGCCGCCCCGCGCCCAGGACGCACGGCGGGCTCAGGGCCCCGCGGGAACATGCTGCACAGTCGGGCTCCAGCCTCTACAGGGATCCTGGCCTCCAGCGTCACATGCAGCCATTTCCAGCTGTACAGCAGGGCGACACCGACCGGGGACGGTGCTTACAAGAGGTGCCAGTTCCTACGGACCTACGTCGCGTACAGCTCCACGTACTACAGAGAGCAGGCCGGATCTTCAGCCAATAAGTAGGTCCACGATTGTAGATCAACAACAGACTTTTATTGCTTTATACATGTGGTGCTGTTCAAGGCACTGTGGCACGGGCTAGAAAACTCGGAATGACTCGTGAAGGGACCTGGAATGCGACACGGCGGGCGCTCCTCGGCAGCTGCCGCGGCAGCCGGGGCCGGCGGGCCATGGCCCACGGCGGCCCCTCACATGCCCATCCGGATGCTCTGGATGATCTGGAAGATGGCTGCAAGAGAGCGAGAAGGGAGCGCTCGCCGGGCAGCGCCAGCAGCGAGCTCGGGGGAGCCGAGCGCCGCCGGAGCCCGGAGGGGCAGGGTGACAGTGCCCAGCCCGGAGGGGCAGGGTGACAGTGCCGAGGGATAGTGTGGGGGCACAAAGGGGCAGTGTGGGGGCACAGAGGGGCAGGGTGACAGCCTGGAGGGGCAGCGTGAGAGCCCCGAGGGACAGCGTGATGGTGCCGAGGGACAGTGTGGGAGCCCTGAGGGTCAGTGTGACAGTCCCGAGGGGCAGTGCCCGGCCCGGAGGGGCAATGTGGGGGCACGGAGGGGCAGGGTGAGAGCCCCCAGGGGCAGTGTGACGGTCCCGAGGGGCAGTGTGACGGTCCCGAGGGGCAGGGTGACAGTCCCGAGGGGCACGGTGACAGTCCCCAGGGGCAGGGTGACAGTCCCCAGGGGCAGGGTGACAGCCCCCAGGGGCAGGGTGACAGTCCCCAGGGGCACGGTGACAGCCCCCAGGGGCACTGCACTGTCCGGCCCGCAGCCGCCGCCGGGGCCGGGCGCCCGCGCGCGGCCGCTCACCTGATCCGCAGACCACGAAGATGAAGAGAGCCAACAGCCAGGGCCCGACCGACGCCTTCTCCTCCGGGGCCGTTCTCTGCGAGCACAGCACGGCCGTCAGCGCGGCGCGGCCCGGCCCCGCCACCCCCGCCCGCGCCCGCCCGGCCCGGCCCCGCGCACCGAGGTCTTGGCGACGTTGCCGCGCTGGGTGATGTTCTTGCTGTGCTTCTCGTTGGCCATGCGGATGCGCTGCTTGGCCACCATGTCCGCGCTCGGCCCGGTCCGGCCCGGCCGCCGGAACCGGAACCGGGAGCGCCGCTCCGCCCGCGCCCCAAGATGGCGCCGCCCACGCCGCTGCTCGCAGGTGCGCGGGGCCCGGGGCTGGTGCGCGGCAGATGGCTGCGGGGCTGGGGCGGGGCGGCCCGGGACCCTCCGGTGCCTGCCGGTGCTCCTCCGGTGCCCGCCGCGCGTCCCCTCCCCAGCGTGCGCTGCCGCGGCGTGGCCAAGTCCGGCCCCGGTCGTGGCGTTCCTGACGGTGCCCCGCCCGAGCAGCCGCCCCGCCGCCGGCCTGCCCCGCGTGGCCCCGCGCCGCGGATCCGTTCCGCGGCCGCGATGATTTACTGAGTTACTCGCGGGGGACCCGCGGCGCGTGGGCAGCTGCCGTGCCCCTGCCGTGTCCCTGTCCTGTCCCTGCCGTTCCCCTGCCGTGTCCCTGTCCTGTCCCCTGTCCTGTCCCTGTCCTGTCCCTGCCGTGTCCCTGTCCTGTCCCCTGTCCTGTCCCCTGTCCTGTCCCTGTGCTGTCCCCTGTGCTGTCCCCTGTGCTGTCCCCTGTCCTGTCGCTGCCGTGTCCCTGCCGTGTCCCTGTGCTCTGCGGGCTTTGTGCCGCAGCTCGGGAAGCTCTTCCTGACGGTGCCGCCCCCGCCGCTGGTCAGGGCTCGCTCGGCCCGGGGCCGGGGCGAGCAGCGGCACCCCGGAGGAGGCCTCGGCGGCGGCTCCGCCCGAGCAGCCGCCCCGCCGCCGGCCTGCCCCGCGTGGCCCCGCGCCGCGGATCCGTTCCGCAGCCGCGATGATTTACTGAGTTACTCGCGGGGGACCCGCGGCGCGTGGGCAGCTGCCGTGCCCCTGCCGTGTCCCTGTCCTGTCCCTGTCCTGTCCCTGCCGTGCCCCTGCCGTGTCCCTGTCCTGTCCCTGCCGTGCCCCTGTGCTGTCCCCTGTCCTGTCCCTGCCGTGCCCCTGCCGTGTCTCTGTCCTGTCCCTGCCGTGTCCCTGTGCTCTGCGGGCTTTGTGCCGCAGCTCGGGAAGCTCTTCTCAAGTTCCTTTCAGTGCCTCACTGTTTAAACTGCCCTAGCATAAGGGATGTGCGTGTTCCTTTTCTGCATTTGTGAGCTTTAAACCCGAGCCTGTTTCCCCTCGCTGGGGTGGGGGGCTGCAGTAGTTCAGGTGGGTTTTGGGCTGCCCGCTCCCCTCTGCTGTGAGTTTGGATCGTGGTGGGGGCAGAGCTGCAGGGCACGTTCCCGCAGGGTGTGCAGCTCGTGGGGCACCCTGAGGGTGAGTGACGGTTCCCTCAGGGCCTCTGGGGCTGTGGTGCGTGAGCCCTGCACAGCTGCAGTTAGGCATGAGAGGAGCTGTTCTCCTGTGGGGCTGTGGCTGCCCGCCCTGGGCTCAGTCCTGCAGGGCGATGGCAGCTCCGGGGGCACAGGGTTCCCCTTGTGCCTTGGGATTCCCTTGTAGCCACTGTGGGGAGCACTGGGCGTGCCTCAGGGTTCACGAGTGGGAAATCATCATCTGTGGCACTTTCCTGCATCTGAAATGCGCTGTTTGTTTCCTGTTGCAGTGAGAGGGTCCGAGGGGCTCTACATGGTGAACGGGCCCCCCAGCTTCACCGAGAGCGTGGCCTTCCAAAGGTACTGCTGGCACTGCCTCCAAGGAAACTGCCTTCCGGCAGCTGGGGTAGTCTGGGATTGAAAACTGTCAGTGTATGAGTGAGTTCAGAGCGCGGGTGGGTTGGAAGGCTGTGCCCTTGCCTGAGCTCCCCTGCCAGGTGACAGTCCCTGCTGACACAGGGCTCCTCAGGCACAGCAGGAAAGGTCTTGTCTTCGTTGTTGTTAAGAAAACCTTCATTGTGGTGCTACTGGGTACTCATGCACTTTTCTTATTTCTTTAGGGATTCTGGAAAAAATTGCAAAGCTGTTGCATTTAGCAAGGACGGCTCCCTCTTTGCCTGGTGCAATGGAGAGAAGTGGGTGCATTTTATTAATGTTTAGCTTGTATGAAATAAATGGAATCAGTTATGCCTCATTTACTCTTGTCTGTGTAAAGCTGATTGCTGTTAATGCAAGTGTTTGCATGTACACTTTAAATGGAGTTTTTCAGATGAAATATTTTGTGTTCTTGATGCACCCATGGTGCATCCATTCCCATGTAGTCTGGATGTGCTTTCTTTGGTTGTTTTTTTATTCCTGGCTCCTAGTACCTGGTTTCTGGGATTAATCTATTAGTAGAGTCCATAGAAAATAATGAGTCTATACACCTTGTGAATGTTACAAGGTTCCTTTTTTATAGATCAGGTGCATTATAGAGTTCACCCTCACATTTAGGGGTTATGTGTTGCAGACAAAAATAAGTGTTGTGTTTTGTCATGCTTGGGTGTCTGGTTTTAAAATGTGCTCTTGGAAAAATTTAGTAAAAACAACATGGGGGAGAAAGCTCTTCCAATTTTGTTACATTGGCCAAATCTGGAGCAGATCTAGAAGAGTCAAATACTTGAATATTTCTCTCAGTGTTGATTAACTATTGTAAGCATGTTTTATTGAAATAGCATCTTTTGGTTCCAGGGTCAATGTGGTTAATGTCACCAGAGCTGAGTTACTGCATTCCTTTGATCTCCCAAAGACAGTTTGCCTTGAATTCTCGCCAAAGAATAATGTTCTGGCAACGTGGCAGGCCTATGCAAGTGAGTGTTGTGCCAGCTGGGGAGGCTTTGTGCCAGCTGGGAGGCTTTGTGCAGCTCTTTAGCCACACTGTGGCCTCTGCAGTGCATTTACTGGCTAAATGAGCAGTAGACAAAGGTGCAGAAAGTTCTGTGGGCACTCGGGAGCGCAGTGGGGACGGGAGGGATGCTGTTGTCAGAGCAGCTGGTGCTGGCTGTGCTCAGCCACGCTCTGTCAGTGCTCACAGCTGCTCTGTCAGTCAGTCAGTGTTTCCTGAGCTTTGGTGAGTGCTGCAGTGTGTCCTGCAGGCAGCTTGTGTTCTTGGGTGGGCAAGGCAGATGCCGTGCTGTCCTGGAGTATTGTGTCCTGCCCGGGCCCATGACTGGAGTGTTCTCCCTGTCCAGAGCTTTATTCCCTCCTCTGCCTCCCTGGGGGGTTTCAGTTCCTGGTTCTGAGAGCTGCAGACAGTGTAAATGCTGCCTTGGGAGAGAAGAGCTGGGCAAGGCTGGGCCTTGGGAGCTGGCCAGGCTCTGGGGAGACTGGAACCAGGACAGGCTGTAGGATAAGAGAAGGCAGCACAAGCTGTGAGCTGTTCTGGGGCTGCTGTAAATCACTGACAGCAGCAGGCAGGCTGTGCTAGCCAGGGTAAGGAGGAGGGTACACGCAGCTGAAAAGCAGCAGAACCATTTTGCATGGCTTGCAGAGAGAGCTGTGACTGCGCTGGAATGGACAATCACCTCATTCCTGTGAGAGCAGAACACTGGAGTGGAGAACATGCCTCCATTGTTTGCTGTGAGCGGGGTTTTTGGTTTGGATTAAAAAGCTGTGCAGGTGTTGTTTGCAGCCTTGCAGTGGGGAGAAGCCCTGCAGCTCTGAGTGTGAGTTCTTTCTGCAGACAGACTGAGGTTGATAGGTACAGCAGTCAGCATTCATGGGTCTGGTCCCTCAGGGGCAGGAGTTGCATGCTTGCAAGAAGCTCATGCAGGACCATGAGTGGGATGTTGGGGTGAAGCAGATTTAAGCCTCAAATACCTCTGTGTTTTTTTGCAGCTGCTAAGGATGGCACAGCAGGGGTGCCCAACCTGCAGCTCCATGATCTGAAAACTGGAAAATGCTTGAAGTCTTTTGTGCAGAAAAAGATGCAGAACTGGTAAATAAGCCTTCCAGATGCTAATTGTTTACAAAGAAATGTGGTTTTCAAAACCTGATCCAGGTAGATGGAGCTCTTAGTGTGGTGTTGGCTTTCAAAGCAGTGCCTGCTGCTAACTGAAGGCCAGAGTCTGTGCCTGTGAGTGTCTGTGTGTAGTTCATTGTAAATTCACTCTCACTTTGCACCACAGAGGAAAGCTTAGCAAACAATAACTAAGTCCCCTTGTATATTTTTGCAATTCAGATGTCATTTTTCCACATTAAATGTATCATGTTTGAACTTACTGGGCTCACAATAGAGGGGAAAAACAGTCCTGGAGTGGTAATGATGAGCTTCATTTCATGTTTCTGACTTTTCCCTTAATGTGCAGGTGTCCTTGCTGGGCAGATGATGAAAGCATTTGTGCCAGAAATGTGAACAATGAAGTGCACTTCTTTGAAAACAACAACTTCAGTATGCTAGTATTTCTCTACATTTCATTCCTTCTATAAATGCTGCTTCTTTTGAGGGGTGGTTTTTGTTTTCAGGTTTTTCTTTTGTTTCTTCATTTGCTTGCCTTTTATTTTAAATCCCGCCTAAATTCTATTTCAGTTTAGAATTCAGAATCGTTATTCTTTAATGAAGTGAGTTTTCACTTTCTTATTTTCTTTTCACTGACTGACATGATATGAAATGATCCTCAATTTAACAGACCTGTTATTCATTTAACAAGATCCAGGAAATTGTTTTGTAGAAAACGTGATCTGCAATTACTTCCTTGGGTTGTGCATATTCTGTCAATAGACTGCTAAAAATGGCACATTAAAAATTGATGGCAAAAATGAAATAGTGAAGTCTGAAGATTTCTACCCTGGAGATTTACTGTTGGTCATAGAATATTTGGAGTCAATAGATGTTGAAAAAGGAAAGGGAAAGAAAAAAGCAGAAAGGTAAAAATTAATTAGAACAAAAATGTAAAGGAATGAAAGCAAACTGAGGGGAGAACAGCAGCATGTGGTTTTAGTTTTGCATTCTTTGTTTTGTTTTAATTATAAAGTTGATAGTTGAATTAGGGTTACGAGAGATTGTTTCCTGAGAATTAGCCCTGCTGATGTTAACCAGGCTGTGGGGAGCATGGAATGCCAGCCTGGGCAGGAGGTCTGCTGGCAGTGCACATTCCTGGCTGCGTGGAGCTGTGGGGTGGTGCTGCTCCCATCAGTTGTTTGGGAAGGGGCAGTGCTGAGCTGAGCAGGCCTGTTGGGAGGA